GAGCTAGGCCTAGGTAAAATACAGCATCCGTACCATCCCTCTCCGCCATTGCGCCCAATGCAATCCTGAATGTGCTCTGACTGATTCTCGAGGGAGAAATTAGTTTCTGGTTTTTAATGCCACGAAATCTCATTCTATATCAGATATCTTATATAGCAACGAGATTTCAATTATATAAGATATCTTAAATAGCTATATGAGATATCTTATATATTATATGAGATATCTTATATAGAAAATTAAATGAGATATCTTATATCGCATAATAGATATCTTATATAGTATATATGATATCTTATATCCTATATGAGATATCTCATATAGAAATCATTGTCAATCAACTTATTAAGATAAGAAACCATTGCCAATCAATTATTGTAGGAAAGTAACCAATGTCAATCAATTAATGTAGTAAAGTAACCATTGTCAATCAACTAATGAAGGAAAGTAACCATTGTCAATCAACTAATGGAGGTAAGAAACCATTGTCAATCAACTAATGAAATAAAGTAAACATTGTCAATCAACTAATGATGGTAAGAAACCATTGTCAATCAACTAATGAAGGAAAGTAACCATTGTCAATCAATTATTATAGGAAAGTAACCAATGTCAATCAATTAATGTAGTAAAGTAACCATTGTCAATCAACTAATGAAGGAAAGAAATCATTGTCAATCAACTAATAAAGGTAAGAAATCATTGTCAATCAACTAATGAAGGTAAGAACTAATTGTCAATCAACTAATGGAGGTAAGAAACCATTGACAATCAACTAATGAAGGTAAGAAATCATTGTCAATCCATTAATGGAGGTCAGAAATCATTGTCAATTAACTAATAGAGGAAAGTAACCATTGTCAATCAACTAATGGAGGTAAGAAATCATTGTCAATCAACTAATGAAGGAAAGTAACCATTGTCAATCAATTATTATAGGAAAGTAACCAATGTCAATCAATTAATGTAGTAAAGTAACCATTGTCAATCTACTAATGAAGGAAAGAAATCATTGTCAATCAACTAATAAAGGTAAGTAACCATTGTCAATCAACTAATGGAGGGAAGAAATAATTGTCAATCAACTAATGGAGGTAAGAAACCATCGTCAATCAACTAATGAAGGTAAGAAATCATTGTCAATCATTTAATGGAGGTAAGAAATCATTGTCAATCAACTAATGAAGGTAAGAAATCATTGTCAATCAATGAAGATAAAAAACCATTGTCAATCATTAAAAGTAAGAATTCATTGTCTATTAATAAGGTTTAGAAGCCATTGTTCATTTATCAATATAGAGGACACCTTATTTGTTGTCAGACCATCGTGATTGACACCTTATTTGTTGTCAGACCATTGTGATTGACACCTTATTTGTTGTCCGACCATTGTGATTGACACCATATTTGTTGTCAGATCATTGTGATGGACACCTTATTTGTTGTCAGACCATCGGGGTTGACACCTTATTTGTTGCCAGACCATTGTGATTGATACCTTATTGTTGTCAGATCCTTGTGATTGACACCTTATTGTTATCAGATCATTGTGATTGACACCTTATTGTTGTCAGTTCATTGTGATTGACACCTTATTGCTGTCAGATCATTGTGACTGACACCTTATTTGTTGTCAGTCCATTTTGATTGACACCTTATTTGTGGTCAGACCATTGTGATTGACTCCTTATTTCTTGTCAGACCATTGTGATTGACTCCTTATTTCTTGTCAGACCATTGTGATTGACTCCTTATTTCTTGTCAGACCATTGTGATTGGCACCTTATTGTTGTCAGAAAATTGTGATGACACCTTATTTGTTGTCACACCATTGTGATTGACACCTCATTTGTTGTCAGACCATTGTAATTGACACCTTATTGTTGTCAGTTCATTGTGATTGACACCTTACTGTTGTCAGATCATTGTGAGTGACACCTTATTTGTTGTCACACCATTGTGATTGACACCTTACTGTTGTCAGATCATTGTGATTGACACCTTATTTGTTGTCAGACCATTGTGATTGTCACCTTATTTGTTGTCAGACCATTGTGATTGACTCCCTATTTGTTGTCAGATTAATGACTCAATGTTTGTACAGTGTAGTATAACGACCGTATTTCAGTCAGTGTTTCGTACAAATACTAATGTTAAAGCCAAACTCTGACTGAAATAACAGTGGTGTCACATTAAGCTTCTTTTGTTTTAGTTGATCTGAACAGTTTAATGCAAAACCTGAAGGACGTTCTCCAGAACACCAAACCTAAACTGGACATCACAACCCCCTACTTTCCAGTTACTGTACCAAAAGGGGCCTCCGTCGTCCCAGCAATCCTTTCCGTACCAGAAACCACTGCTGCCAACTTGTCTACCAACATGTACGACCTACACAATCTCACCGATGTAAGATTACAAAACATTTGAAACAATTCTAAGCCACTCTCTGTCGTCTGTCCCGTATGCAGGCAATGTTAGGACAGGTAAAAGTGGTTGTTCTGTATAACATTTGTATAAATAATTAAACTTATCTGAACCCTGTGTGTTCTGACCTCCTGCTTTATCCAACATATGATATTGTGATCCCATTTCTTATAAACTACCAAACAATACTAATAACTTACATTCTGTCTAATCTGAACAATAAATTGTATCCTACAGAGTGCCACATTAGACAGGTTAATCTGACCAATAGGTTGGCTCCAACAGGGAGTCAGATTAGACAAGTTAATCTAAATGGAGTATTGTATCCAATAGAGTGTCAGAATGGACAGGTTAGTCTTACTGACATCCCAAGGGTATCAGATTACACAGGGTATTCTAACCAATTTGCTGTGTTTCACAAGGTGTGAGATCAGACAGAATAATGATCAATATGTTGTGTTCCACAGATTGTCGGATAAGACAGGGTTTATTGTTTATAAATAATATGTTACATGCCTGTCATGCAAACTTAATTAAGGTGGAGAAAGTAAAATAAGTTTTATTGACTATGTACAGGGATTCTTAACAGACAGTTTGTCTTTGTATAGAAAACAAGTGTTCTCACAAAGGGAGTTATATGCAGGTGGTTGTTATAGGCAGGTACTCTTTATAGACAGGTGGTTTTATCTGCATGTGATCTTTATAGACAGGTGGTTGATATATGCATGTAATCTTTATAGACAGAGAGTTAATATAGATAGATATTCTGTATAGACAGGTGGTTTCTATAGGCAGGTACTATTTATAGGAAGGTAGTTGATATAGACAGGTAATCTTTATAGACAGGTCATCTTTATAGACAGGTGGTTTCTATAGGCAGGTAATATTTATAGGAAGGTTGTTGATATAGACAGGTAATCTTTATAGACAGGTCATCTTTATAGACAGATGGTTGCTATATACATGTGGTTGTGTTAGGCAGGTGATTCTTGTAGACATGTGGTGGCTATATGCAGGTAATCTTTATAGACATTTGGTTGCAATAGACAGGCGATATTTATAGACAGGTGGTTTTTATAGACAGGTGGTTGCAATAGACAGGCGATATTTATAGACAGGTGGCTTTTATAGACAGGTGGTTGCAATAGACAGGTAGCTGTATTTTAGAATTCCGATGAACCTGAATGTTTTAACAATGTGTGTCATTGTGTACATTTCAAATGTGTCATCCAAATTATCTGTTATAAAATATATTTGATAAGTTTCTTGGTGTGAAGCTAGGTATATGTAAACCATTCAGGTACATTAATTCTCTGATAATGTTATATTACTTCAGGTGGAAGATTTCCTCCACACAGCCAATTTGTCCAACATGAATGTGAGCAGCTTAAACATCATTATGTCAAACATCCAGACGTTCGTACACACCGAGTCGTTCAACCCACACGAAGTTACGCACACGCTGACGCATCTGTCCAGCGTGACCCAAACCGACTCAAGTACAGTGAAGGTGGGTAAAAATTTCGGTCCTTTTTGTAAACTTAACTCTTCACAAAGAAATTGTTTAAAGCACAATTGAAAAAAAGTACATGTAACGTGGATATGTATATATATAAAAACAAATTTAATAGTGTCCACATGATCAGCTCAATGAAAATAAATTAAAAAAAATCATACAAACTATAGGACAAAATTGCTTGCTCTTTCACCCAATTAGGGAACTATTCATCATAATATATATATAGCATAGTATATAACTCTTCATCAGTTCTCCATCATAATATATATATAGCATAGTATATAACTCTTCATCAGTTCGCCATCATAATATATATATATAGCATAATATATAACTCTTCATCAGATCTTCATCAAAATATGTATATAGCATAGTATATAACTCTTCATCAGTTCTCTATCATAAAATATATATAGCATAGTATATAACTCTTCATCAGGTCTTCATCATAATATATATATAGCATAGTATATAACCCTTCATCAGGTCTTCATCATAATATATATAGCATAGTATATAACTCTTCATCAGGTCTTCATCATAATATATATTTAGCATAGTATATAACTCTTCATCAGGTCTCACTCATAATATATATATATAGCATAGTATATAACTCTTCATCAGGTCTTCATCAAAATATGTATATAGCATAGTATATAACTCTTCATCAGTTCTCCATCATAAAATATATATAGCATAGTATATATCTCTTCATCAGGTCTTCATCATAATATGTATATAGCATAGTATATAACTCTTCATCAGATCTTCATCATAATATATATATAGCATAGTATATAACTCTTCATCAGGTCTTACTCATAATATATATATATAGCATAGTATATAACTCTTCATCAGGTCTTCATCATAATATATATATAGCATAGTATATAACTCTATGATCTTTGTTATCGTCTTTTCATTAATTAGTATTTTATCACAGATTTCTACATAGTACAGTTATTAAAAAACAGTATTTCTGTGACATAATGATTCATGTTAAAATATTTGAGATATTTTGTAGATGTTGACCTCCATTGTGACGAGGGTGATAGAGGACGGTACAATATCTACAGCACAAGAGGCCCGCACATTTGAGGTACTTACTTACTATTAGGTTAATAACCTAAAAATGAAGGGGAAAAACAAAACTTTCTATTACCGTATTTATCCTACTATAAATTTTATATTACCGTATTTATCCTACTATAAACTTTATATTACCGTATTTATCCTACTATAAACTTTATATTACCGTATTTATCCTACTACAAGCTCTCCCATATCTATTGCAGTTCAAAAGAATTACCAACAAATGTTATTTCATTGATCTATAATATACCCACCACCCTAGTTTGCTTCACTGAGATGATATTTTTGGCCGCTGGGATTATTGCGGGGTATAAATGATGAACAGGTTCAATTTACAATGGGTCTAGTATGTGTGTTCTTAGAATAAAAGGAAATATATTGTATTAGTACTGTTTCTTCTCCTTATAGCAATATACGATATCTGATTACACTTAAAGCATATACCTGTTTAACCCAAAAAGGTGTGCTTTGTACTGTTATAGGGTCACTATGAACTTCATCTCTAGGTCAAAGGTCAAATAAGTGCAATATTTTCAGTAAAGATTGTCCAAGCCATACATTTTCAATTAATGATATCTTTCTGAAATTTGAAGAATGTATGCATCACTACCAGAAGATATGCAGTACACTGATGGAATTAGTTCACAGTGACCTTCATCACAAAAACCAAAGGTCAAACAAACATTTATTGTCCAGGCCATCAATTTTAAACCGTTGTAAATATCTTTATGAAACTATAAGTATACATCCATTATGCTTTTGTACATTATCTAGATAAAAATGTTAATATGGGGAGACATACTTTTTTCACAAAAGAATTAAAATCAAAGTCATGACGTCATGACACAATTAAGACAAACACATAAAAATAGTGACATGGAAGACTTAATGATGATAAAACAAAACCATGTTTTTTTATGAATATTCACACATATTTCTGATAATTCGATGAAAATCGTCTTAATTCTGTTTCCATTTTATAACTATGAGATTTATAAAACTTTTCCCGAAGTCTTGCAAAACTGAAATTTTTCAAAGCTTATAAATCTTTGATAAATGGAGATATATCAAAGATCCTGTATTTGTTTGTTTATGTGTCGGTGTTACAGACATCGATGTTTATGTGTATGTGTCGGTGTTACAGACATCGATGTTTATGTGTCGGTGTTACAGACATCGATGTTTATGTGTTGGTGTTACAGACATCGATGCCACAACTGATGTTGACCATGGAGAATGTTCTGTCTGCCTCACATCCATCAGATATTGTCAGCTACTCTACGCCGGAAATAGGTAAGTCAGCATATTTAACGGAAATAAAAAAAAAATACCAAATGAAGTTTGGATAAATTTGTTGGTAGCTGAGAACAGTGAGCTAGCTCAACTACACTTGTTTAGAATAATACATTGTAACCAACCTTCGTCATGTCTCATCTTGTATTTTGAAAACCTGGTTCGACCTTAAATGACCATAGCTGTTGATAGAATGTAAATCACAAACAAACCATAGTAGACATTTTGATAACAAGGATCAAGAATGGTGATATCTTTTGTTTAATCCTTTCACCACTGTAGACCATAATGGACTCAACCATATAAATGCATGGTAGAGTCTACTAAAGTTACATAGGGGTGAAAGGATGTGTGGTCTTGGTATTGTGTTGTAGAGGTGTCGTCTGCTGTGATCCAGACCAATGAGAGCACGGATGGCTATGTGGTGGTGGAGACCATTATTGGGCGAGTTACCATGCCTGTCATCCTTGTTGAGGACGGGAGAAGTAAGTCACATGGTCACATGTTTTTCACACCTCCTTTAACTCGTTCACCCCTGAAGACACATTTGAACTCTTCCAATTCAAAGGTTGGAATAGTTCATTATGAAATTTCAGGGGTGAATGAGTTAAACTTCTTATCATATGAGGATAAGTTAAACCCTTCATCCTTGATATCCAGGGGTTGGGATCACTTGCGTTCTCTGCACCCCTGGAACCAATAAACTGTAATTGATCCTTAGATGTGTATCAAACAAATTGTGCTGTAGTGTAATGGTAAAATTGAATGGCTTTGAAGTTTGGTGTTGCTCTTCTGTAATCTTCAAAGGTCTGGAGGCAGCCTAGTGATTGGTCTGTTTTTTATGCCCCCGCTATAAAATGGGGGGGCCCATGTCCGTCGCGTCGCGTCACGTCCCGTCCCGTCCGTCATGTCACGTCGCGTCCTGTCCCATCCATGAGCGGGGGCATTTATGTCTTACAGACATTTTCTAGTTATTCTTGAAACCAAATGGCTGACTTTACGCTTTCAATTTTGTCATGACAAATTCCAGGGGTGCAGAGAATGTAGGTAAGCATATATAACCCCTGGAGTATCGAGGATGGAACAATATATATAAGCTCATCTTACTCACCATGTTGTCCCCGGGTTGTGATTACGAGTGGTTGACAAATCATCACTACTGGAGGTGGTTTAACCTGCTCTCAGCTCCTTACCATGTGTCAAATAATGTAGAAATATCTGTAGAGTGTGGTGGTGTGCTGTGTTCCATAGTACAGTCTAAGGGAGATAATTCACCATAATTCCAACAAACTTGAAAAATAATTTAAAATTTATTTCTTTATTTAGAAATAGTTAAATAGCTCATCCACCATAATTGTAAAATCTTTAGACATTTGCGGTTGAACATACTAATATTTCTTTATTTACTAACGTTTTGATGCTCTATTGTTATTGCAGGATTGCATGCATATTTTAACTAATTACAGATACATTGTTTTTTAGGTTTGTAACAATACATGAGCATATAGTCATTAAAATAAATTAAAATATCATGCATTTTTTTAATATAGTTTTAAGGTAGTATAGTAATCAAAATGACATAAGTTGTTTTAAATTACTGTGTGAGTTATTTTGACAGAAGATGAGAGGTTGCTTATGTAAAAAACGACTACTGTATGTTTTGTTAGGCAAGGAGGTCAACATGATAAAGTTAATAAAGTGGCTTTAATTAGATCCTTTGTAACATCATGTAACATTGTGGTAATACGATTTAGTTTTATTGATAAATATGCTTAAACAGTTATAAGATCTTTTTGTGCTGATGTGTAAAAGGGGTGGCTGTCTAATGTAGGACTTGATCTCTCCAATGTCCTTCATGTTCAGTAAATACAGTGTCTGAGGCCGATCAGGATATCAACCCGGCTATTGTCTGCTACTTCATATTGTGGGCCAATTAAACCATACTTTTTTTTTAATAAATACCGTAAATATGGGTAAAATCTACCTTATACATTATACTTATGATTTGTAGGGTTAGGTTGTATAATACCCATTATATCTGGTTTGTATTAGAATTATCTCCCTTACACATTATACCTGTGGTTTGTATTAGAATTATCTCCCTTACACATTATACCTGTGGTGTGTATTAGAATTATCTCCCTTACACATTATCCCTGTGGTGTGTATTAGAATTATCTCCCTTACACATTATACCTGTGGTTTGTATTAGAATTATCTCCCTTACACATTATACCTGTTACTTGTGGTAAAGTTAAAGCTGTATGCTACCCTTAAAACTCATGATACCTGTGATTTATTATGTTGCCTTACACACTATACCTGTGTGTTATGTGTTAGAGTTAGGGTTATATGTTACCTCACACATTATACCTGTGATTTGTGTTACAGTTAAGGTTATATGTTACCTTACACATTATACCTGTGATTTGTGTAAGACTTTAGGTTATATGCTACCTTACACATTATACCTGTGATTTGTGTAAGACTTTAGGTTATATGCTACCTTACACATTATACCTGTGCTTTGTGTTACAGTTAGGGTTATATGTTACCTTACACATTATACCTGTGATTTGTGTTAGAGTTAAGGTTATATGTTACCTTACACATTATACCTGTGATTTGTGTAAGACTTTAGGTTATATACTACCTTACACATTATACCTGTGATTTGTGTTACAGTTAGGGTTATATGTTATCTTACACATTATACCTGTGATTTGTGTTAGAGTTAAGGTTATATACTACCTTACACATTATACCTGTGATTTGTGTTACAGTTAGGGTTATATGTTACCTTACACATTATACCTGTGATTTGTGTTACAGTTAAGGTTATATGTTACCTTACACATTATACCTGAGATTTGTGTTAGAGTTAAGGTTATATACTACCTTACACATTGTACCTGTGGTTTGTGTTAGAGTTAAAGTTATATACTACCTTACACATTATACCTGTGGTTTGCGTTAGAGTTAAGGTTATATGTTACCTTACACATTATACCTGTAATTTGTGTTACAGTTAGGGTTATATGCTATCTTACATATTTTGTCAGTGATTTGTGTTAAGAGTTATTTCCATTAAAAACAATAAAACAATAAAATAAAAACCTGAAGTTGTACAATTTCCTCACACAGTCCGTATGACCACCATTGTGTACCAGAACATCCAGAAGCGTTGGACCCTCCAGCAGGGTTACAGACACGCTCAGATCGGAAGTCATGTCCTGTCAGTCTCTCTCCAGCGACTCCATAACGTGACTTCGGAGAGACTCAACATCAGCCAACCAAAGTCTATCACGATGGTTCTACCCACACAAGTCAACGGGGTGAGATGTTTTGGGAATTCATTTACTTGTCTGCTCTTTCTCTACATATCTGTTTCCACCTTTATAACATCAGCATTTTTCTGGACAGTATAACAATGTTTTTATATCCTATTAGTAGGGGTGTCACAATACGCCGATATATTGTCATAGGAAGGATGTGCTCAATTTTATAATAAAATTGTTGTTAGAATGTTATCAAACTTAATCATATATAATATGGATTACACAGATTTAAGATTTTTGTTCATCCAGCGATTACAAAATTTGAACTATTAAAAGCCTGCTTTATGCTTATTGGCATATCTGTTAGAATTTGTAGTAATTCGCAAAGTTAAAACACCAAGCAGATACATAAAAACATGCTTTTGAAAAATATTGCGATACAGCAATATTTCATCTCTGTATTGTGGTACGATACGATACGATATACCCGTGTATTGCGATATACCTGTTTTCCAATATATTGTGACAGCCCTACCTGATTAGAGGTAAGTAAGGATAGTACAATATTACAAAGACACCACTATCATTTCAATCTAAGATTTCAAACTCATTTTCTTCATTTTACAGAGAGAAAAGGAAAGACTGTGCACTTTCTGGAATTTTGATGAGGGGTAAGCTAATGTTTTTACATGTACATATTTTTGAACAGGCTTCATTTATGACTCCCACACAATACAGGGTATTTGTTTAGTATATAACAGTTCACGAAATAATTCAGAATTTTTTCATTTGAATTCTAATTTGTTTATCAAGTACATTTTTGTAGGGGCAAAATTACAAAACAAAATGCTGTGGAATGAACATAGAATGATGCCAAATCTGGGACCAGATATATTTTATAAACATAAATGAAATATTTTCTCAAAATAACTTTTGAAAATGATGCTTGACCACCCTTCAATTTTCTTTCAATTTCTTACTGAAAAAAACTTCATGTGATTCAAGTGTATTCATGATTGCATGCATGAGAAATTTGCATATTCAGAGTAAACCTGATGTCAGTATAATAATTTGATAAATATTATACCACGATTTGTGTCCAGATTCTGGGACACGACGGGTGGCCGTCTGCTCACGAAAAACGACAGCCATACAGAGTGTCAGTTTGACCATCTCACCAACTTTGCTGTCCTCGTCCTCTACTACGACCAGTCACTCAGCGTGAGTACACAACAAATGTGTAATAACCTTACGTGAGTACTCAACAAATGTGTTACCTCACGTGAGTACTCAACAAATGTTGTTGTGTTTCTAATGTAGCGGAACTGGACTGGGTTGATCGTTGGCGACCAGATAGCTCAATTGGTAGAGCGTACGTCTAGAGTTCGGAGGGTCCCGGGTTCAAACCCTGGTCTGGCTGTACATTTTTCCTCTCCTGTTACACTAAAGTATAGACACATAATTTGTGGTTGACTGCTACCGAACAGATATGAATATGAGATGCTATAATTTGGGTAGAAACACAAATTTACAAAACCCTTTGAACATTTAACCACAGTACACATAGCTGACAACTTATGTACCTGTAATAGGAGAGGGAAGATGTAACGGGCCAGATGGGTATCGAACCTCAGACCTCCAAACTCAAACCAATTATTGTTCTAACCAACTGAGCTACACTGTCACCAGCATTCACCTGGTCAGGCACACTACATACCAACTATCTAAGTTCAGGCACACTACATACCAACTATCTAAGTTCAGGCACACTACATACCAACTATCTAGGTTCAGGCACACTACATACCAACTATCTAGGGTCAGGCACACTACATACCAACTATCTAGGTTCAGGCACACTACATACCAACTATCTAGGTTCAGGCACACTACATACCAACTATCTAGGTTCAGGCACACTACATACCAACTATCTAGGTTCAGGCACACTACATACCAACTATCTAGGTTCAGGCACACTACATACCAACTATCTAGGTTCAGGCACACTACATACCAACTATCTAGGTTCAGGCACACTACATACCAACTATCTAGGTTCAGGCACACTACATACCAACTATCTAGGTTCAGGCACACTACATACCAACTATCTAGGTTCAGGCACACTACATACCAACTATCTAGGTTCAGGCACACTACATACCAACTATCTAGGTTCAGGCACACTACATACCAACTATCTAGGTTCAGGCACACTACATACCAACTATCTAGGTTCAGGCACACTACATACCAACTATCTAGGTTCAGGCACACTACATACCAACTATCTAGGTTCAGGCACACTACATACCAACTATCTAGGTTCAGGCACACTACATACCAACTATCTAGGTTCAGGCACACTACATACCAACTATCTAGGTTCAGGCACACTACATACCAACTATCTAGGTTCAGGCACACTACATACCAACTATCTAGGTTCAGGCACACTACATACCAACTATCTAGGTTCAGGCACACTACATACCAACTATCTAGGTTCAGGCACACTACATACCAACTATCTAGGTTCAGGCACACTACATACCAACTATCTAGGTTCAGGCACACTACATACCAACTATCTAGGTTCAGGCACACTACATACCAACTATCTAGGTTCAGGCACACTACATACCAACTATCTAGGTTCAGGCACACTACATACCAACTATCTAGGTTGAGGCACACTACATACCAACTATCTAGGTTCAGGCACAGTCTGTATACCAACTATCAAGGTTCCATTATATTATAATTAAGTTTTACCTTGACGTTATATCTGTCATTAACAGTATTATCAGTATTTCAGCCTTAACGTACTATTGTGTTTCAAACAAAATCGTTGCGTCTCATATTGTTTGTTCGATGTTTACTCACCATAACCCTGTGAATGTTTATGACATTATGAGTTGTGAGAGAAACCAACTTCAAGTAATGTCTGCTGTTTCTGCTTTGTTGTAAGTCTGTTTTATTCTTATAGATAATCTTCTTACTAAATCTCAGAGTAAATTGATTTGATTTGACATAAATCCTTACCAATCTTCTGTCGTTCTCTATTTTTAGCTGTCTAAGCTACAGAAGCAGACCATGTTTGTCCTGACCATCGTGTGCTGTAGTCTGTCCATCACCTGTCTCGGAGTCTGCATCATACTCTACATATACCTCCAGTAGGACCTTGGTTCTGTTGCATTGTTTCATCACTATACGTGATATGTTTTTTTTAGGGTTAAACAGAAATATTGTGTATATATTGAAAAATTGCACATGTATAAATAGAAATTAAAAAATGTTATTGGTGAGATCATTTGTCTTTGTAACGGAAGTGAATCAACGCTCTCTACCTGTAAAATTCTGGGTATGATATATATGATATAACCAATATATCTTGATCATATACTTTTATTTTGAATCTTTTCTATTTTTCTAGTTTGCCACTATTTGAATTTTTTAATTTCCGTTTTAATACTAAAAGCTTTCAGCAACTTTAAAAATTGATTCCAAGTAAACTGGTATTCTGTCAGCATTCTTGTTTTTTGTTTGATATTAAATAATTTGATAATTAAATTACATACCTGACATTTCCAGTGAACTGTAAATTTAAACTGATTTATGAAAGTGTGCTGTATTGATAACGTAATTAAAACATTGTCTTGTGAAGCCTCCTGGGTGAAGAGAAGATCCTGATCCATGCTAACCTCTGTATAGCCTTGATGTTGGCGCAGCTAGTTCTTGTGACATCACACGGAGCGGAGAGAGTCACGGTAAGTTGTGATGTCACACGGAGCGGAGAGAGTCACGGTAAGTTGTGACATCACATGGAGCGGAGAGAGTCACAGTAAGTTGTGACATCACACGGAGCGGAGAGAGTCACGGTAAGTTGTGACATCACACGGAGCGGAGAGAGTCAGGATAAGTTGTGACATCACACGGAGCGGAGAGAGTCACGGTAAGTTGTGACATCACACGGAGCGGAGAGAGTCTCGGTAAGTTGTGACATCACACGGAGCGGAGAGAGTCATGATAAGTTGTGACATCACACGGAGCGGAGAGAGTCACGATAAGTTATGACATCACACGGAGAAGAGATAGTCTCAGTAAGTTATGACATCACACGGAGCAGAGAGAGTCTCAGTAAGTTATGACATCACATGGAGCGGAGAGAGTCTCAGTAAGTTATGACATCACATGGAGCGGAGAGAGTCTTTGTAAGTTTTGACATCACATGGAGCAGAGAGATTCTCGGTAAGTTATGACATCACACGGAGCAGAGAGAGTCTCGGTAAGTCATGACATCACACGGAGCAGAGAGAGTCACGGTAAGTTGTGACGTCACACGGAGCGGAGAGAGTCACGGTAAGTTGTAACATCACACGGAGCGGAGAGAGTCACGGTAAGTTGTGACATCACAAGGAGCGATTTTAAACATTGAATAGGTTATGGTAGCAGGCATTAATTCCCTCATAGATTCCTCTCCAAATGGTCATCAATTCAATTAATTAAGACACCCTTAATTACTCTTTTTTTTAATCAATAAATAGCTGAAATGTTATAAGAAAAAACTTCTGGGGAATAACAAATATTATCTTATAGAAAAATACTTAAAATTTAATTGAAAGTGTCAAAATTTACAAAAATTGATATCGTGAAACTATATAAAAGTCTATGATAAGGATGTGATTTTCCACCCCGACAGGCTGCGTGTAAGACAGTGGCTGTATTACTTCACTATCTGTTCATGTCCTCGTTTTCCTGGATGATGCTGGAGGGCCTCGCAGTGTATCTAGCCTGCACAAGAGGATTATATAACTATGGCGACATGCGCTTGAAGTACTTCCTGGTTGGCTGGGGACTTCCAGCAATAATTGTCACTGTATCAGTGGGTGTGCAGTTTCCGAACTATGGGGAGACAGCTGACGACAGGTAAATTACAAGTAAATCAGATGGCAGGCTGTTTGAATCGCCTTTCCTCTGTTGTCTGTCCATCCATCTGCCTGTTCTTTCCATATATATATATTGGTTCTCTTTGGTCCTTTTGGAGCTTTTTCAGTTTTGAGATTGTGATGTTTATAATGGCCATCCTGTATGTTGACCATCATTTTTTGTCGTATAAAACAGTCATTAATATAAATTTTTGAATAAAACTTTCCACATGATGCTTTTAATTTTGACATGATTATTAGTGCAACAGATGCAAGAAAAAACTCCAGAAAAGAATGTTTAAGATCTTGTGATGGTTGTCACCTCCGGGATATCTCGTCACGTACTTGTTACTATGTAATATGTGCGTACGGTTTGTTATATTGTCCCAGATTTATAACAGATGTATTTATTCCTTTGCTGTTACAGCTGCTGGCTATCTGTAAGGGACGGGCTGATATGGGCATTCATGGGGCCGATGCTGGTTGTGGTTGTGGTGAGCACCTTGTCAAACTTATTTTATATTGTATTCAGACTAGGGCTGACAGTCACAGCCTGATTAACATCATGAGGCGTTTTAAATTATTAAAAAAAATATTTTTGTCATCAAGAAGTGTCACCTCCTAATCTCACCAATATAGAATAAGAAGAGTGTCCGAGACGTTGACCGCAGTATTTATCTATCAATAACGTAAGTCACACTTTGGTGTGTCCAGGTTGTGACACTTTCGTGTGTCCAGGTTGTGACACTTTTGTGTGTCCAGGTTGTGACACTTTGGTATGTCCAGGTTGTGACACTTTGGTGTGTCCCGGTTGTGACACTTATGTGTGTCCAGGTTGTGACACTTTGGTGTGTCCAGGTTGTGACACTTTGGTGTGTCCAGGTTGTGACACTTAGGTGTGTCCAGGTTGTGACACTTTGGTGAGATTTGCATGGAGTTGCCTCACGTGACCATCATTCCATAATCTCTGCTGTGTTCCTAAACAAACAAGAATGTGTTGCTGTTATTTTTCAGTTCAACCTGTTCATTCTGTGTCTGGTGATAAAGGTGTTTCTAACATTGAGGGCCAATTCCAGAAAGACCCAGGCAGCCAAGTTACGGTAGGTTTGTGACAAAAATCATCTGTGATTTTTTTTTAGACAATAACATGACTCAATGCTCTACAATCAGATGTGTTTTAGCTTGACTTCTTAGCCAATCAAACAGAACTTTCACTATGTAGACTTTTTACAGCATTTGTTGGAAAGGTTCTAGAAAAAATGCTCTAGCTAGCTTTTATAGGTGTATACGCGTATGTTGATGAATGGTTCATATAATGGTTTCAACCTCTGGGTAGTGAACTAGAAGAAAACCCCTTCAAAAGCCTCCTTTTCATAAAACCAAAGTGGAATTTCCTTTCACACACACACATGTTAAATAGTCTTTTAATATTTTTGTAAAATACTTCAGAAATATGGCTCGACTTATGCATCCCAGAATGACAAGTCTGATCCCTTTGATTAACATGTATTACCGTATTTTCTCCCACACCTGACAGATTTATCTCCCGTTTTGCCGGTGCTAGATTTATCTGTCTCCGCCCTAGGGTTGAGACGGGGGGATTCCCCTATTCATAACAATGGCATGACGTCACTTCAACAATACAATGACGTCACGTCAACAATCCATCAACAAATTGCCTGTATGTGTTTTGGGTCCATGTTTACCTTTATTTCACATTAAAATACTGTTAGATATGGGAGAAAAATAATCAATCGCTACTGGTTGTGTAAGATAGAGAAATCTCAACCCTCGGACTAAGATTTTTTGTCCAGAACTCAGCAAGCCTCGTTCTGGACAAAAAATCTTAGTCCTCGGGTTGAGATTTCTCTATCTTACACAACCAGTAGCGATAGATTCTATTAATCCGTAATTAGTAATTAGTACTTCTTCCCCTTTTTCAGGAGGAATTGAAATCATGTAGACCCCCTCCCAGACCTGACCAATGATTAATTATAACTACACTTTAAAACAGAGATTTCTGTCTGGTGATCATGGCTTGACTTCCCAGTGAGGCAGATGATTTCCAAACCTCCAGCCATGCTAGCATGTTTATAATGCCCTTTGATTTTGGTGATACCAACAATTGAAGTTGCACAACTTTTTCTTGCATAAGTAGACCAAGATATCCGCATTTTTACGCGGAGCAGGACAATTCTATCCGACCCACGGGTCTTGATTGCTTACACTCGCAGACCGGCAGGGGAATTATAGTGACCTTTTGGAGTCACGCTATTGTTCGTGATGTCATTTTATGACATTTTGGGGTCAGTCAGGGTCATTGACCTCATTAACAGTTGCCATCCAGGCTTTATATGTAAATCCC